TAGAGAGGTGGTTGATGCCCCAAGCCTGTCAGTGTTTAAGAGGCATTTGGACAGTGCTTTAACTTTTGATCAGTCCTGAAGCGGTCAGGCAGTTGGACTAGATGATCATTGTAGGTCCCTTCCAACTGAACTATTCTATTCTATTCTAAGACTGGACATGCAATAGGAATGGGACAGGGCAGGCAGGGCCATGAGACGGTGGCTTCAGGAGCTGACCTGAACCCCTGCTCCATGTTCAGCCCCATTGGGAGGCACAGGGGTGGACAGGGAAGAGGCAAACTTCCACCCCAAAGAGACAGTGAGAAAGTCAGCGCTTGCCTTGTATTTTTGCCAGCTTATTCTGGCACGGAGAGAAGGGTCCTGGCTCCTACAGCCACAAGGCAGCTCAGGCCAGTCCCTGAGCCAGGGATTGCTGTAGTGGGGACCCCCCTGTTTCCAAAGGACGCTGCGAAGCAGATTTCCCAGCCCACAGCTTCTATTTCGGACCCACCCGCCAGGCCAAATTCCTCCTCATCTCCCCTTTCCCAGTACAACCACCCCCTCCACAAGGGCCAGGCCCTGCTGGGCTGCCACCTTCACTTTCCTCAGGCAAGAGACGGGGTCCCTCCGACCACACTGACCTGTGCAACCATGTTGGTGACATCACCAGTGTTGGCGGGCAGCAGGACGGTGTTGGAGTCTTTGGCAAGCTTGGAGAAGGCGCTCACGTACTGCTCTGCCACAGAGAGAGAGGCAGCGGCGTTGCCATGCTGGGGAGAGAGGGCCAAGGCTCAGCAGCGAAGAAGCGAGTCACGTACCACGTACCACCGTGTACTCATCCGTGCCCCTACCCCCAGCCCACCCTGGGCTGGTAGTGGCCCCCAAGACAACAAAACTCCTCACTGCTGCTGAAGACGCTAGGGAACATCCGAGAGAAAGCCAGGTGCCACCCTGGCCTTGGTTTCATCTCCCCCAGTGCTAGCACCAAAGCTGTGGCTGCCCCAAGGAGCCATCGCTCACCTGCTGTGCCAGAACAGCCGCCAGGAGCTGAATAGCCTCAGCCTTGGCCCTAGCCTTGACCAGCATAGCACTGGCTTCTCCTGCAACAAACCACAGCAAAATGCATATCAGAACTGCAACGAAGTGCTTCTAAGGAGCAAATCAAGATCACATCATGCACGCAAAGCCTCCTCTTCCACAACAGCATGGTGATACTCCTGCAACACACCTCCTGCCACCCCAGGCTGCAGGGCAGCAACATGAGCTGAAGCTCAGCCCAAGGGTGCCATCAAGGAAGGATCAGTGTGGCTGCGGAAGCCT